ATCTCATTGTTGGACTCGGACACTCGAACCTTCTAACGATCCGCGACGCGCAGTACTCATCAGCATGAGACTCATTCCGTTCGTCTTGGCGTTGGGATGCGCAGTGTTGGCGGTGGATGCACAGAGAGTGGTGGATCCAGGTGCAGCTGGCCAAGGGGGCGGTACCAATGCGGGTACTGGCAACAATAACAACAATGGCAACAATGCGCAGGGAGGTCAAGCGCAGCCGACCCAAGCGCCACAAGGTGGAACAGGTACAGGCACCAACAACACCTCATCGCTCTCTTCCATTCCTCAAAACGCAGCAGCTGGTGGAATAACCATCACGAATCCTGTGCAAACGGCAGACGCTTCTTATTACAAGATAGCCTCGGGTATCAGTGTGACGTTCGGATGGAACTTTACGAGCATCGTTGCGGGACACTCGCCCAGCTCCTTGACCATCCAAGCAGTCAACACTGCTCAAAAGAATACCATTCCGATCGCCACAATAGCGGGTGCTGCTACGCAGGTGGTTTGGAGCCCTTGGGACTATCAACAATCTGCTGGGGCTAGGAATTTGCCACAGTTGGCTCAGGCTACTTATAGGTTGCAGATTTTTGACGAGAAGGGCCCGGACGCTGCCACCAATCAGGCAGGTGTGTTCAATGCTAACCAGGCGGTGCAATTCGCCCTGTACATTCCGGCGGCGTACACGCCTCTTTCTGGTAAGCACGCCGATTCAGTCTGACGCTGATGAATAGGAGGGAGAGAACAAGGAAGGGAAAGCGAGGGGGAGAGGGTCCATTGAGCAGGGCACTTCGCTCAGACGGGAAAAGCTGCGCTTGGTGCTGGATGCAGAGCTCAGAAGATGCAGCCGTCATCGTGCTGTTCACGAGAACAATAGAGGTGTTGTGATACCCATGATCGCGAAACGATTTGCTGATGCGCGCACTTTTTTTTTCTTGATTGCCTTCGACGCTCAGCTGGCTGGACTTGCGCAGGTTGCAAGAACGCAGGAGAGCTCCTCAAATCGTACACGCCTTTGCTGTTTGGCAGCGCAGCTGCTACTGCTATTTGTCTTGCCAGCGGAGCCGGTTTGTTGAGAAGAGGGGCCCAAATTGCCCTCGAATGATCCTTGGCAACGCAC